ATAAAATAAACAGACACCATATGATTGAAATGATGCAAAGATGAAAAGGAAAAGCAGGGTTACTTACCCCTTCTTTTCCTTTTCCTCAAAAGATTAAAAAAATGACTAAAAAAGAGTCCTAAGTTGTACCATGCTAAATAAACTAATGCTATGCACCCCGGCACTGGAATCTTTGTTGGATCTCTCCAGCTTTCCAAGCCACGCCCTTTCTCACAGCATACAGAATGACAGCTAGGCTTTCTCTCCCTTAGACTTCACACACACACACACACACACACTCACCAATCCCCCTTTTGCCTTAGGAGGGGATAGGTGAGTTGAACCCTACCAAAAAATATGTTCAGCTTACATTGGACACCATGATTAGGAACAATGACAAAGGGAAAATGATGGATTTCCCATTTTTCCTGTCTTCCAAGATCTCCAGATAGACCAATAATAGCTGGAGCCCCCCTCTTTCAGCAAGAGCACATGAGAGAATTTTCAGAAAATGCAGAACTGTATTGTTGCGTGTTTCTTTGGGCACAACCCGAGTTAGGTTGCTTTCATCCTCAAATTTTGCAGATGTTAATTAAACCCCAGTGGTGCATTCTGCAAATAATAAATAAATAATGTTAAAACTCAAAACATTGGAACTGCATTGGAGAAAATGACAATGTAACACTGAAAAAAAAAGGTTACCTATTAGCATGTTGGGTGTAATCTGCAAAATGTAACTATATAGTAGCATCTCCCATGGTCCTTGCTTGAGATTCCACACTCCTCAAGTCGCGAAGATGTTGTAAAATCTCCTGGAGAAGATAAAGTCCTTTGTCCCCTTTCCTCAAGGAGCTGACGCAGTGTTTAAGAAATTCTCTGTCTGCCTCAAGTGCTTGTAGCCTATTGTAAACATGATCCACCTCTTTTTCAATAGCAAACTTCTTGTTCTCTAATTCAAAGTCGGCTGCTGAGAGATATTGCAAGGAAACAGGATCAAATCCATTTTGATGCCCATTCCATGGTCCATCTTCAGTTTCTGCCTCAAAAAGTGGGAGAAGACTCTTTGCCTTAGGACCTATGAATTTCATCTCTTGATGGTGTTTCCCATTTCCATTTCCATTGAGAAGACCATTTGCGACTCCATTTACTTCACAGGTAAAATCAGAATTCTCGGGGTAGCCATTACCATTCTCTTTGTGCAAATGCTGAACTTGTTTCATATCCTCAAATTCTTGTTCCTCTTCATCATTCAATGTGATCAATTTCTCCTCCAAAACCTTGAGCTGCTCTAGAATGGATACTCTTTCTTCCTCAAAGTCAGCTAATGACTCCTCCAAATACAAAACTGCATCTTCTGGGGTATTCTGGTTGCTACTCTCTTGAGGATCATCGAAACTATCTTCTTCCTTTTGTTCTTGATTCAAATCAACAGATAATCCATCACTATCTTCAGCATTACTACAAGAAGCAGAAGTAGCTGCGCTTCTGGTGCTATCATCTCTCCTTCTTCTCAGCATCATTATTTTCTCTTTAGCTTCATAGTCCTGCACCTTTTTCCGATATATTTCCAGCTCCTTTTCCAGCTCGGCCTTCTCCTTTTCTCTCTTGAACATAAGCTCATTTAGGAGCTGCAAAGCTTCCTGGTCATATGCAGCTTGTTCTTCCATCATTCTCTGGTAATGCAAAGCTTCCATCTGCATTGCTGCCTTCTCTTCCTGAAGCCTATTTATCATTGCCATTGTCTGGTTTGCTGCCACAGCAGAAGCACTTCTCTCTTCTTCCAATTCTGCATACAAAGCATGTAAAGCGTTCCTTTCATCTCTTAATGCTGATCTTAACTTCTCATTAGTCAATACTCCATCACTGCCATCAACGTCACTGATAATACTTCCATCCCAAGATTCTTCCGTGCCTGATTCTTTTTTCTCAAGCAAAAGCAACTTCTTATGCAAGTGATGGAAATTATCGATCGAAGTTGGTGTATCAGGAACTTTATCTTCTTCAATCTCATTGAACTCTGACGATAACAATGAATGGTTGTTTTCTGTTTGGTTACTTCTCTCAACTGTTATCATCTCAAATTTTATAATTTCTTCCTCGTCATTCTTGAAACCTAATTCAAAATACACAAGTGAACATGTCAATTAAAATTACAAGGAGATGATTCTACAAATTGGATAGTATATAAAAAAGAAGGTAAGGCTTACCATGATTATCATCTACATGGAATTGAGCAGAACTGGTGGAAGGATCTTCTTCAATGGATTGAGATGAAAGAACTTCTTCGATTGGAACATCATCAATCGGTTCATGATCAGGAATATCTGTCCCTATCGATATCTCTGCTTCGATTTCATCATTTTGCTCATCAGAAACTGCAAAGATTAACAAATTGTTAAAACCCTTTTAATCTAAATTCAACATTAAGCAAGAAAATAAAATAGAATTGGATTAAACGCATACCATGCTTGACATCTGAATCCATTTCCCTTTCAAGTGCTGCACTTTGTTGAACATCATCAGCATCAGTAGGTAGAGTAAGAGTTGCTTGGGTGATAGCAACTTCTTCATGTTCCTCCTCCACCAAATCATGTTTTCTCTCATCTACTGAGAAACTTTCTGTCTCATCCAATTCCGTTGATTCCACCACTGCTAAACTGGCTTCAGGCTTACCCAGAGTAGCAGAAAGTAATTCAAACTCCGCTTTTGAGTCGCTCCTAACCAAATCATCTTTTCCTTCATGTACTGAGAAACTCTCTTTCTCATCCCATTCCACTAATTCCACCACCACTGGAAAACTAGCTTCCTCCTTACCCTGAGGGGCAGAAAGTAATGCAAACTCCACTCTTGAATCATCCCTATTCTCCACAACCAATTCAACTGGTTTCGCAGGACTGAACTCAAAATCCAAAATAACATCTCCATTACCAGAAATCCCTTGATCTTCCTCTCTAAACTTGTAGTCACCTTGATTTTTTGCCGTCACTGAGTCCATCAACTCAATTGGAATCAGATGACAATCATCCTGGTCAATGTAGAACTCCAGATGCTTCAGCACATATCCAGAAGGTGCATCATTAGACACCTCCTGATGACTAGATGGACCATCCATTGACACATGCAAATCATCACCTTGCATTGATTCTTCAACTTTCTCCATACCAAAACCTTCATCAAAACCTACTGACTTTGCCTCGCAATCGAAGCTAGAAATGTAAAATGTAAATTCCTCATCTACTTCCAATTCCCTTCTTTGATCATCCCTTTCCTCATCAGAAACAATCTTAACTCCCCTGTTTTCTTCCGTCCCCTGTTCTGCTTCGACATCATCACCCATAAAATCCGATCTCCTTGGTTCAGAGTCATCTACTTCCCCTTCCTTTTTCTCAATTATATCAGTTCCTGCTTCCTCAGTCACACTCTCTTTCTGGGTGTTATCCAAAAGCACCCAAGAAGGCTTATGGGTACAATCGAAACTAGAAATAAAACCTGAAAATTCCTCATCTACCTCCAATTCCCTTCTTTGATCATCCCTTTCCTCATTATAAACCATCTGAATTCCCCTGTTTTCTTCACTTCCCTGTTCGGCTTTAACATCATCACCCATAAAATCCGATCTCCTTGGCTCAGAATGAGCCCCTTCCCCTTCCTCAATTATATCAGTTCCTGCTTCATCAATCAAATTCTCTTTCTGGGTATAATCCAAAAGCCCCCAAGAAGGCTTAATCAGGAGATAAGGAGAGTACGATTTTCTCTCTGAGATCTCCCCACAACAGGAACACTTCAAATCCCCATCACCATCTCGAACCAAACCAATTTGCTTCATCCATGGAAAGTACGCAAAATTCTTCGAACACTCCGCGGAGGAGGACGAGCAATCCTCACACATATCCTCAGATTCAGCGAGTTTCCGATGATTCGAGCAAAAGCCCAGTCTGGAAATCTGCGTGGCATGGGCATCACAAAAAAGATCTCTGTCCCAATTCTTCTCTTTCTTGGGATCCAAGAGATGATCAAGCCTCGAACACCAGATGCAAGGGCGTTTTAGGCCGAAGTAGTCGGCGAACTTGATGATGAGATACCAGAACAGAGAGTTGAGGAGGAGTAGAAAGATCAAAACCCATTCCAGCATTGCGTAGATGAGAACAAGAGTGATCCTATTGGTGTTTCTCTGCAACATGGTTGCAAACTTGTTGGCCGCCATTAATGAAAGCTCTGTTTTTCTACCTATTTACAGAAAATAAGAATGAACAAGAAGTTTTCAGACAAACCCGAGATTCAAAGACAGTTCTCAATGATAATAGATAGGGAAATTTGGACAAGATCAAGGAGAAGGAGATGAGAAGATGTTTTGAAGAAGAGAGTGAATGAGTTGACGGGGAAGAGATCTTACTTCGACTGCATGCGCGGTTTGAATGGGGAAGACAGGCAAGGAAGGCTTGGAGAGGGAAAAATAATCCAATAACGTAAAAAATAAATAAGATACTTACTTCAAATTAGAATGTGTAATTAGGGTATTAAAATTATTAAATTGTTATTAAAAAATAATATAAAATATAATTTTATTAAGAGTACTTTAATAAATTTATGAATTAAATTATATTTTTAATGTGGAATTTGATTTGTAAAATATTTTTTTAAAAATAAATAATTAGAAATGTTTTTTTAGGTTTAGTTAGATTGTATGTAATTTAAATGTGTAAGTAGTTAATTTAATGAATCTTATTCCTTAAAGATTAAATATAAATATTTTTTTATGCAGTCCAAACGAAAACACCCTCATAAAATGTTTAAAATGCATCATTGCATCATGTATATATCCAACTGTCATACCAACAAATGCTTAGTAAAAATAACATCAAACGGTATGGTTTATATTAAACAAAAAAAAGTTCATAAAAAGGTGTCTGTAGTTTAATTTATAGCAAATGCAAAACACTGGTAACTAAAAGATGATGGAGGTTTCTTGGTTGTGAGGGTAAGCTCTTTTTAATAATTAGTGTTTTGTAGTTTGAATTACAAAAAAATTAGATTTAAAATTGTTTAAGTAAAATTTTACAGAATAGTTAAATTATGAATACATATATAATACAATTAAGCTAGATTCAAATTTTGCAACACACAAAATTTACAATCACTAATTGTCTAATTCTGAAATCTTATATTTTGCTCTGGAGACTAAAATCAAGTGGGTTCAAACGTTTGGCTGTTGAGCAGTAGCTTTCACCAAAAAAGGGGGAGAAATTTAAACATCTATGTATGAGACTTTGATAGAATTTAAGTAACCTAACCCCTAGTTCAAGCAATTAATTTAGGGCTGATTTTTTCTTGGAAACTAGACTTCTTTTTTTTTTTTTTAATTAAATGATTAATTACTCCATTTGTTTCACTATATTAGTCGTTTTGGAGAGAAAAAATTGTTTCTAAATATTAACATTTTAGCAAATCAAGATTGCACTAACTATTTTGTTCCAAATTTACCCTCGTTGGTGTTTTTTTACTAATTCCTCTCCCCTCTTTAACTACTCAATTTTGAAAGGGTATAATGGTATTTTAATCTTAAAAATCTCTAAATTCAAGAGTAATTAATTAATTTTCTTAATTCTCACACACCTCTAAAATGTCCAATAAATTGGAACAGAGGGAGTATACAATAAGATCCACTTCAAGATTTACATTAATTTCAAAATTTTAATTACTTGAGATATCTTAGAAAGTGTTTGGTTGGGGGCAAATTTTTCCATTCATCATTTCTAAACTTTTCCTTTATAAGTAAATTTACAAATTTTTACATATTAATAATACAAAAAAATTAAAATAAAAAAGATATTTAAGTATTTACTTTCTTTAATACAATTCTCAATCTATAAAGTTTTCCTCTCACATATTGTGAAAAAAAAGAAAGTTTCCCTATAATTTTCTTTATATTGAACTCATTTAATAATTTTTTTATATTAATTTCTTAAAAAATACAATAAAATTAATAATCTAATAAAATTTTATTATAAAATTTAATAACTTTTTATACAATATGTTTCTTAAATATTTTCACAATAAAAAATTTTCTAATAAAATCTCCCCTAGATAAATAAAATAGGCCTTTTTAAAGCGGGAACGATAGTTATTGGTCAAAAAGAGTTTCTGGATTTCGTGTCTAGGCAAAGAAAATATGAATGGCTCCCCACCAAACCTTACCAATGGGTTTTTCTTTTTCCTTTTTTTTTTTTTTTTCTTTTTTTAGGATATCCAACCTTTCTTTTTTTAGGATATCCAACCTTACCAATGAGTTGGTGCCTTGGTGGACCCTTGTCAAAGTAAGGTGTGGACCCTGTGGGAGCTATATGGGATGCCAGATGTTCCTCTAATCCATTATGGAAGCTCATTTTCTTTCTCAATCTTTTTGTGTTTTCAAATGGAGGCTTTAAGATCAAATAAGAAAAAGGAGAAATAAAGGAGATTCAATTTCGTTGTCAGCTAAATGGTATAGTTATCTTCAAGAGTGGTGCAAGTATACATTAATTTCACTGGCTAAAGATTCCTCATGTTATGAAAAGAAGATTTACATACTTGTAAAAATTTTAATTTTTATGTGAATGATATATTCTTAATTAGGTAAAAAAATCTCAATTTCACTTAATATAATATGTATAATATGACTCAAAATAGGGAGCAATTAATCCTAATATTGGGAGGTAGCTTCCCAAGTGGGCATATGAGTAGAGAAAAGAGAAATCATTCCTAGCCTAGAATTCACATTTTGCTGAAATGCTAAGTCTTTAAAAGGCTTTATACATATAGCCTAAAATTCACATTTTCTATTTCTAGTGGGGTTTATCAGACAACTGCCATTGTAACTTTTTGACTAAGAAGCTTAATTAAGAACGTTTTCTACTTTCTATTTGATCTAGTTATAGTTTTTGTAGAAGGTAATGTTTAAATACAACTTTTATAAAAATGTTGAGTAATAAACACATAAAATAATCATAAAAAATATTAAAAATTAATAAAAACTCTCAAATTCATAAAAAACTTTACTCAAAAGTTCTATTCTATAAATAGTAATTTGTTTTTTTTATCTCTTTAAAAATTAGAGATTATTTTAAAAAATCAAAGATGTTTGACCTAACTTTAACTTTTTCAGTATATATTTCCCAAAATTGAGCCAAATACACACAAAATCTTCTTTTATGATAGAGGTATAAAGCCTCAAGAAACTGTAAAATAGCTCAATAAAAGCATTGGTAGGAACCCCCATGAGATAAAGGGGGCTGAGGGGGCACAGGCCCCCATAAACTTTTAAGAAATAAAAATTTTGATCCTTTAAGTCATATTTCTATTATTTCAATCCTTATTTATTTCATACATTTTAATTATTGTTTAACCATTGTTTTTAATGAGAAAAATAAAGATAAAATAAAATAAAGATTAATTGATACAAAGTTATTTAATATCATCCTTTTATAAAATAGTTGATTATTAATACTATTTTTTTTTTTGCTAATTAGTGTTTTTCTATTCAATATATGTTTATTTTATCTTTTATTTGATGTCATATATATAATACTATACCATTAATTAATATTAGTTCATCATTAAAAACTAACAAATTTTAATTGAAAATGATTTTTTATTAAAATTTTTCTTTTTATTGACTTTTTAATTAACGTAAAAACACACCGTTTTTTTTTTCCAAAATATCATTTGGCACCCCTAAAAAAATTTATGGCTACGCCACCACCCCAAGTTA